TGAAATTGGAGGTAAAATTTAGGACTAACTATGAAATTTACCCTTTTTTTTTTATAAAATATTATAAATGCATCAAATAAATATAATTTCTAATCAATTTTAATATAGTCCTAAATTTTTTTTCGACTAACAATAATATTTTAAATTATCGAACACCGGTCATTAAGAATGATAGTAAATTGGATACAAATGAATATTCCTTCAAACCCGCTTCCAACAAGATCTTTTAACTGCCAATGAGTCACTCTACCATAATACCTAAAAATGTTTTTAGTAATAGGTTTTCTGCCTTTTTGCTTTGAGTAAAATGTTAAATGTTTATTTAATAAAAAAATTAATTAATAAATAAATTTGGATAATTTAAAAATACATAAATTTCGTTTGTCCTACTAATGTTATTCTCCCTAACAATGATACCTAAAATTGTTTTGCTTCCCATCTCTATGAGATGATGAGGTTTTTTTTTATTTATTTAAAAATTTAATTACATTCAATAAATAAATTTTGATAATTTAAAAATACATAAATTTCGTTTGTTCAATTGATCTTTTTCTCCCTAATAATGATACCTAAAAATATTTTGCTCCCTCTCTTTTTGAGAGGATTAGTTTTTATTTATTTATTTAAAAATTTAATTTCAATAAATAAATTCTGATAATTAAAAAATACATAAATTTTATTTGTCCTACTGTCGTTTTTCTCTATAACAATGATACCTAAAAATGTTTTGTTCCCTCTCTTTTTTGAGAGGATGAGTTTTTTTTTATTTATTTAAAAATTTAATTACATTCAATAAATAAATTTTGATAATTTAAAACTACCTATATTTTTTAGCATATCAAACTTTAAAAATTGAAAACGTATACATATAATTAATTTTAATTTTATCATATAATTATAAACGCATACATAGAATAAAATTAAATTTTATTTGTAATGTTGATCATGTCAACATTAATATTTATTAACCTATGAAAAAATATAAGTTATTCGAAACGTATATGTGTAAAAAAATGATACCAACAACGCAGTTGATATTCAAAACAACATAAAGGATTATCGAATACATGTAAACATGATGAGATAAAAGTGTCAGACGCATCATTGTCCAAATCAGAGAAATCAAAAAATTCAAGATTAAAAATAGGTAATGAATCCTCTAAAATTTTAATTTCGGCATATTTAAGATCAAAATACTCTATTTTAGCATAATCGAGCGCATCGAAACGATCAAGACGATGCTACATTTGATCATTTTCACGTTTAAGCCTTGACATGACCTTGTCATGATTGTTTGAATTCTATGAATTGTAAATATGTTATATGTTGAAATCGTTCATGTGTCATTCATTACATATTGAACATGGTAGTAGTTTGCAATGATGCATTAAATTGCATATGCACGGGGTAAACACATTCATAACTATGAGCATGGGTGTGTGGTTGCACGGTTGGTCAATCATCATCCTTGGTGGTTGGTGGTGGACTCGGGAAAGTAGGATGGAACATCTTAATGAGTCGCACGGTTGCATGGTTGCATGAAAAAAACTTGGGCTCGGTACCGTTGGACCAAGGTTCAACATAGTCGCAAGAAAAACATGTGTCGGGTACATCAAGTAGGGCTAGACACTCCCTCGGGTGAAAAACCCGATCGTTGGTTTATACACTCCGACGATGAAAGTCCAAAAAGTGTATCGATATGCGAAGCCGGCGGTGCAACACCAAAAATCCGCTACCCAACAAAGACACATGGATTTGTTTTAAAATATATTCATTTGATGGGAAAAATTCAAGAATGAATTGGTTTTATAAAACATGGATTTCATTTTTCAAAAGGTGATCTTTGGATGTATTCTATCAAAGACAAATATTTTACACATATGCATCGCATTGTGTAGTGGGAGTCGGTGTGGACTCAGGATTAGATGCATGAGTGAGTCTCATTTCATTTCATGACATGACATTATCATGTTTCAACATTGAATACATTATTCTTGTTTGGAATGAAAAAAGTTGTTATTTGTTGCATGTGCACATTTCATATGCACTTAAGATGGGAGTAGCCTCTATAGGAAATATTCTATTAAGCGTTGGCTCACCCTATACGAAAAATATTTCAGGTACAGGGTGCATACAGGCAGAGGACCCTTATTCGGGGCCTCAAGGGTGAAGAGGGGCTGACATGTGGCCTTTAACCATGACTGTTTTGTAAACTTTTGTTCAAACTATGTTTGGCATGTAATATATGTAAAAGAATTGTAACCTTAAACTTTTATTAACTATGTTAATGCATAACTTATGATGTGGGAGTATGGATAAATAGACCTAGTGTGGTTAACGTGGTATGTTGGACCTTGAATGGGTCATATGATTGTATGGTATACAAGTTGTATCTTGGGTGGAGCTCTTCGTACAAAGGAGACTCCGCCCGATTTTGTTAAATTATGAATCCCGGTAAATGGGACACAACGGTATGGTATCGAGTTATACGATCTTCACAGGTATTCCGCGGATTGATGGGTGATCAACAGGACCCCCCGTTTTTGGGGCGTCACAAGCTAGGTGTAGCCAGCTGATCAAACTTAGGCTTAAGGCTAGGCACGATGGTGTAAGCCAAGTGGGTAAAGATTTGAGACCGATTAGATTGGTGGGTTGGTGTGACGATCATAGTGAGTAACCCACAATTGAGGCTTGAACCCTTCATTGAGGAAGGTCCTCTTTATGAATCCACCACATGAATCCACCACAATATACCACAAAATATCTTCAAATATTCAGTTCAGAGCTTTAATTATCTTGAAAATAAATAAAAAAATAACTTCCAAAATAAAAAAAATGTATCTCCTCGAAAAATATATTGCAACAATGAAATCAAATGTTATAAATCTTCAATTCTCTCATATATCCACTCTAGTCATTCCCTCCAAGATCATCTTGAAAAATATTAAAAGCAAAAAAGTATACAATAGACAGGAAATAGTATGCTCAACTATAAAAAAAATAAATATAACCAAATAACAAATAACATAGATGATAGGAATTATGAACAACAAAATCATCAATCAAATTAGACAGGTCATATAGCTCAACTGATATCAAACATTTCATCATACTCGATTCATCTTGGTGACATGATAAGTAACACTGGATATAAAATCTGTACTCATATCAAATAGTCACACCCTAGAAGGTCAGAATCAAACCAAACAATCATACCCCGCAGGGCCACATTTATATTTCACCAACAATGCTCCAAGTACACTTTGTACATGTATCAATCAATCCCAAAGTATTTATCTCAAAATACAAATCAAATCAACAAAAATTTTAAAATTTTATATCAACAAGAAATACTAAACGTGAGTACAAATTTATGATAATCAAAAGGACACTCTTTGTAAAGAAATTTAAAGACAGAACATAATTCATATTACCTCAACTTACCAATTAAAATCGATAAGTTGGATCATCGCAGTATTAAGAGCAATATATCCCAATTTTATAAAATTTGAGATTAAAATTACCATCTAATTTTGAACCTAAAACGTAGTGTCAAAGAGCCTTTGGTCTCCAAGCTTGTGACCTCATGGTGGTGATGCAATCAAGACACTTGTCCATAGTTCCTATTTTTCTTTTTCTTTTTTAACACCCATGAAAATTGTTATATATATATATATATACACACATATATATATATATATATAATTTATTTGTGACACATACTTTACCTACCTATTATACAATTCAGATACTTTAAACATTTAATATGATATTTTTATTTTAACACAAAATATGAGCTATATTATAGTCATTTGACTAATTTTCATGCAAAGAATCCTTATTCGAGGTCTATTTATTTATTTAAATTATTTTAAAAATAGGTCTTGATAATATAGATCATAATTAACAACCTAATTAATGTGTTGACTATTATTTTTTATACTACTCGCCACAGGGCCTCTTTGCTAGGGGAAATGAACACTATTTGAAATTTCTTATACTATGAAAGGCCCTAACCCTTCCTTGAGGCCAAGCCTCTTTGCTAGGGGAAAGGGGCACTATTCAAAATTTCTCTGGGTATGAAAGGCCCTAGCCTTTCCTTAAGGTTAAGCCTCTTTGCTAGTGGAAGGGGGCACTATTTGAAATATTTTAAGTATGAAAGACACTAACCCTTTATTGAAGCCAAGCCTCTTTGCTAGGGGAGAGGACACTAATAGAAATTTCTATAAATATGAAAGGCCCTAGCTCTTAATTGAGGTTAAGCCTATTTGCTAGGGGAAGGGGGCATTATTTCTTTGGGTATGAAAGTCCCTAACCATTCATTGAGGCCAAGCCTCTTTGCTAGGGGAAAGGGACACTAATCAAAATTTCTCTAAGTATGAAAGCCCTAGCCCTTCATCGACGTTGAGCCTCCTATCTGAGGGAAAAGGGTACTGTTCAAGATTTCTCTTTGTATGAAAGGCCCTAGCCCTTCATTGAGCTTGAACCTCTGTCCTAGGGGAAAAGGGGCACAATCAAAGAATTTTTTCTATGTATAGAGTCATGGATCCTTCAAAGAGGCCAAACTTGTTTGCTATGGGATGGGTGTCGGTTGAAATGTTAGGTATGGGAAGGATGTGCCTTCAAACTAGCACGAGCCACTTTTAGATGGAAAGGGGTGAAATGAAGGGAGATGTGTACATAGGAAGAAAGGTAAAATTTACAAAAATAAAATAAAATAAATAAGTGCTTGCAGGTGGAGGGTCGATAGTTGCAATTTGTTTAGGGGCAGTACTGACTAAGGATGGAAGAGTCACAAGACTCATAACTTGCCTAGAGTAAAGCTTGAAACCAAAATGAACTTCAACATCAATCAAAGCAGCATCCCAACCATTCTTGAAGAAAAGTTTCTTAAGCATAGGGATCTACTCCGCTGTTGCCTTCTCCACTTTTTTGAAGCTCTCATCATAAGTCTTATCTTTAGCTCCTTTGAACAAGGATTGGAGAGCTTCGAAGTCTGCCTACAAGGAAGCGTATTGCTCATTCAGCTGAACTTTTTCCTCACGGGTCGTATTATAAGCCTGTTTGGCCTCCTTTAGTTTCTTATCGAGCTCCTCACCTTTCTCGGTGATCTTGAAAAGATTAGCTTGAAGCCAAGCATATTCCTCGGTGACCTTCACACACTCACTTTCTAGGCGCCCAAAATTCTCAACAACCAAAGAGTTTGATAGAAAAGACGTCCTCATATCTTTGTATTTCTTCACAACCGAAGCACCGAGGTCGTCAACTTGCTACAGGCCCTAGTGAGAGAAGAATATGAAAGGGTTAGTAAGAAAATTTTCAAGGTAGAATACTTGTAAATTACTTTATACTCACCACAACCATCAATTGAAGAGCACTACGAGCCAAGGAGTCATCATCTTCAGAGATGCATAGATTGGGTGATATAATTACCACCCTAGCTACACCAACCACTATATCAAGATCATCAAGAATCGTGTCCCTGCCAATAATATCCCAACCACGGGCCTTTAGCCAGGGCTGCCAAATAAGGACCCCTTTATCCTCCTTGGGCTCCCTAGCATCAGCAGATTTCTCAACCACAACCTTCATTTTTTTTAGCGTGCTTCCTCCGAACTAGTTTAGTTATAGAACTAGAATCCTCTACAGGATCATCATCCTCTTTGGTTCTAACCTGAACAAATGGACGTTTGGTCATGATTGCTAAAGGATCCTCAAGTGAATTTGACTGAACAGTATGAGGATCAAAAGGTATAGACTGAACAAGAGTTGTCAAGGCTGACACGACCTCTACAGTACTCCTTATGAAAAATGCTCCCCCGAGTGTGGGGTTGAGAACAAGATAGATGAAGTTTATGGCAATTCTTCCTCTCCCTATTCCTCTCCCTTGAGGACTCTACGATAGTGAGGACGTAGATACTTCCCTAGCCTGAGTAGCCCTTTGCTTGGTGAGTTGTTGAGAGGTCACAGAAGGTGTGATGATGAATGAATGGTACGTAGGCTCATAACTAAGCAACACGTGAGTAGCTCAGCACCAAGTATCTCGAGCACCAAGTTCCTAGAATTTTCCTAAATCTGGGAAATTCACCCTTGACTTAGGAACCTTTCCCTTGACCATTTTCCCTGTAGAAGACACAAATCCACATATTACATGTACAAATAACAAGAGCCAAAAAAAGGAATAATGGAGGTACCACTGGATGATGCCTAGGGATATAAGGTTGTTTAAGAACCTCCTAAGGTATAAGAGGTCAAATTTTGCTCACAAAAGAGAATTGGAGGCTTACCCTTACATATGAAGGCTTTCCTCTATTTATAGGTCCGGAATAAGGTTTGTCTTGGAGGCCAAGCAAATCAAAATGTACGTGACTAACCCTAATTAGTATATGAATTCGAATAGTTAAATAAGTAATTTTGTAAGATAAATCAGTCAAAAAGTTGTAAATTAGGGTTTGTGCATAAATTATGGTTTTACGTGTATATGTCTGAAATTTTGGAGTTTGATTCAGGATTACTGAAAAATACAAGGAATATTGTGTTAAAGCTTAAAAGAGCAAGGGATCAAAGAGTAAATCAACCAAGAGGAGCCAGCAAAGCAAGGAGATAACCATCCAGCAAAGCAAGGAGATAAAGATCCAGCAAAGCACCACTGTCTGGACGATGGTGGGGGCTGTCCGGACAGTGGCTTAAGGCGGCTGATTCATCTGACACCTCATGCTTCCTCTCTTTCTATATATAGGCCATGCATGGCCTTGTTCTTAAGTTGGCCGGGCAGAGTGGAGCTCTAGAAAGAAATCCAAAAGAGAGAAAAAAAAGAGAAAGTCATATACAATCCGGTCTGTCACACTCACAAATCGAAACTCTGTATTTCTACATTTTTGTGTTATCTTTCTATTCGGATAGTTGAACTGCCACCACCTTTTTGTCTTAACTGATAAGAAGGGTGGTTCTATTTCAGTTGTTCCTTGTGAAAGAAGTGTCTGAGTCTATATTTTAATTACAGTTGTAATAAAAACTACCCACACTTCTTACTTGTCTGTAGTAATGTGGTGTGAGTAGTTACTTATATCCTTCAGTGAGAGGTAAACATATGTATAATATACTTCTGGAAATACTGATGTTATATATATATATATTATATACTTCATGCATGATACAGTGATGTACGTAATTTCGATGCTATGCTTGGAATTATGTCATCAGTGAATTATCAACCTGTTGGTTGAATATCTACAGTGTTCCATCAGTATGGCTTGACCTCCATCGGAGCACTAAGGATGTTTTATATTGCATGGTACAAAACCTAAATGATCCTCATTAATAGCTTGTCCTTCTAGGTTATTAGGGTTGTTTAACTACTATATTTAACTATCAAATTAATGATCTAAGTGATCCTCCTTAATGGCTAGTCCTTCTGGATTACTAAGATCGTTTAACTGGTGTACATAATAATATTGCCGGTTGAATATCTACGGCGTTTCATTGGTATAGCTTGACCTCCACTTGAGCACTGAGGGTGTTTAACTAATACATATTATAATATGATCAATTGAATAATTCAAGTATTCCTAATGAATGGCTTGTCCTTCTAGTTTACTCATATTAGTCAATTGACACTTACATAACCAGCTAGTCTAAGAAGTTGATGTGTTATGATTTATTAATACCACCAGCTAACCTAAGAAATTGATGTGTTATGGTTTATTATGTATGCACTTATTATCATGAGATCAACTGAGTAATTCAAGTATTCTTCATGAATGACTTGTCTTTCTGGTTTACTTGGGCTAATCAATTGTCACGGATACTATCAGCTAACTTAAAAAGTTGTTGTGTGATGGTTTATATACATCAAACCTACCATTTGACTTTTCAGTGACTTGAAAGTTAATTGTTGTAAGGTAGCATTTCCCGTATTTAACCAATATAAAGCTTATGGAATCCTTCAATTAAAGGGTACTTTTTATGTTATTGTCTATTAACAATTTATGTCCAAACAAAAGTTTAATTAGACTAGTTATTAATCTAAGCTCACATCACAAGCTATCTCATGCTATCCTATTTTAAACAATAACTTCACTATTTTATTTTGTTTCCTAATTATTAAAACTCTTTGTGGGATCGATGTTGGATTTAAACTGAGAAAACTACAATTCGGCCATTTATACTGTGGTGTATAATATAAATATCAGATCACAAAATAGGTTGAATCAAGTTTTGGCGCCGTTGCCAGGGAGTTACGGTAATTTGAAATTAAATAAAATAAGAAAGTTATTTATTTGTATTATATATATATATATATATATATATATATATATATATATATATTGTCTCTTTTATACACAT